TACATGATTTGCAAATATCCCTCCCATTCTGTGGGTTGTCTTTTCACTTTGTTGATGGTGTCCTTTGAAACACAAGGTTTTTAATTTTCATGATGACCACTTAACCTAATTTTGTTTTGTTGGTCTTACTTTGGTTTTATACCTAAGAATCCTTTGCCAAATCCAAGTCCATGAAGACTTACCCTGATGTCCCTTGAGCATCTGCTCTCCAGAAGGCTTCCTCCTCTCTCTCTCTCTCTCTCTCTCTCTCTCTCTCTCTCTCTCTCTTTCTCTCTCTCTCCACTAAGAAAAGACATTCTTTTTCTAGTGCCTAGCCCTCTTCTGGAAGATCCTGCTATAATTCTACCAACGTTCCCTCTCAATGGTCCTCTCCTGCCGCCTCACCATCGTCGTCTTTCCCTGGCCTGTCTTGTCTGGTGCGGCCTCACCCTGTGTCTCGAATCACCAGACTCCGCTGCTTAGAAGAGCTTGCCTGCCCGACTCCATCCTCATTTATGATGATTCCTCCCCAAGACTTAGCTGTTCTTACTGCATGTTTTTGTCCACGTTCCCCAGGTCCATCAAACATATCTATATGTCTGAACCCCAACAATTAACAGGTACCAGGGTCTTGTCTGTGAGGCCCCTGGCCCAGGCAGAGCAAGGACATGGAGCGTGTCTCTGTGAGCCCCAAGCATGCGGCTAAGTTTCAGGTTTGGATGCCGAGCGCACGGAGGAGCTCTGGTGCGTGTGCACGAGAGGCCCCTCACTTCCAAGCCAGGTACAGGGAGGGAAAATGGAGAGGGGGGAATGGCATATAGAAACGAAGGCTCAGAGCCAAAATGGCAACAGAAGAGTGGCTCTGATGCTTTCCTGCGCGTTACTCAGAAAATGGGAGGCCCGAGTGAACTTCCCCTAGGTAGCAGGAAGCGGCTGTGCTATTTTTTGGAGTGATGTGCAAGGACATCAAGGCTCAATGAGCCCATTGCCTTGACATAGCCATGAGCCAATAGGTGACACCACACCCCATGCCCTTCCGGCCACCCTGCTGCTCCCAACTGACCTCTGCTGTCAGCCTCTGAGCTATCTGTGACTATGGACACCACACACGTAACATGCTGTCAACAAAGGCCCTGATACTAATTAGACAGGGAAGCAGGCATAAGCCAGGACCATCCCTGGCAAACCGGATGACGGTCACAGAGCCCGAGGGAGAGGCCGGTCAAGCACGGTCTGGCAGAAGCATTGTCCAGGCAAAGAAAGAACAGTTCGGGCACTGACACGGATGCCCTGGAGGGGGGCCCACGTGCCTCCGCAGAGAGTGTGATGCTGGGGTCCTGGGAAAGCACAGGGGGCACCACTCACTGTCCAGATCTGAAGACACAGGAAGGCTGCACCTTGGACGCTGTCAGGGATCTGAACAATGTCTGTGGCTCATGCTCTTTAGAGCCAGGTCTCCCTCCCTTCTGCGCTAGCCGTTTGGCCTGTGCAGTGGTGGCCTTTGTTTCCTGTTTCGAGGCCCCACTTGCCCGGTCCAGGGAGAGCGGGCAGCGCATGCCGGCTCCAGGCACCTGGGACTGCAAGTTCACGCTGACTTTAAAGTCTGTCTTCCCCACCTGTCCACCCAGTCAGCCTCATGGTGCTGACAGCGGGTCAGGGACACATGGTGCCTGCACAGTGTGGACAAGGGAAGGGGCAGAAGCAATGGGCGTTTATCTAGCCTCATGCTGGCGTCCCCCGGTCTCAGTGCTGGGGACCCCAAGACAAATCACGCTCCCAAGGGGGAGGACAAATATATCAAGAAATGACTGCGAGGATGATGTGGAGACACTGCTGCGGGCGTTCCTCACCTTCCTGCCATGTGCTGTGTGCTTCTGACGCTTTTATTAGCTGCTCCCTTCTGCGTAAATATCTTCCTGGGATGCACAGGTCTCGGTGTGGGGCTCATTGATGTGGTGTTTGGGCATTCGCTGTGCTGCTTGCTTTTCCACTCAGCATTAGGTTCTAACAGCTAGACATGCTGCTGCACACGGGCCACAGGCTTTTTATTTGCTCTATGTTATTCCCCCAAATGCATGCACTGCCCTTCAGTCAGCTGTTCGCCCACCCATGGGGTTTGGTCCCTCACATCCCAGGGGTGAGGGACGAGACGGGAGGCTGCACTGTCAGCAAGGGGTGGGCATTGCCCTGGGCAGAGGGAGAGGCTGAGGGTGACGCAGCTGCAGCAGGGGCCTCAGCCAATTCCAGGGAGCTCTGAGCAGGAAGGGCCCTTCAGAATTACCCCGAATTGAAGCCAGAGGCCTTTCCGCTCATAAAGGTTGGGGTATAAATGTCTGTTCTCATGCCTGGTCTGGGGGTTCCCCAGCCTCCCTCCCTGGCTGTCCTCGCAGTCCCTCCACTCCGCTCCCACCCCGCTGTCTCTCTGTGTGGCCTGTGGCTTCTGCTCACCGTCTCTGAGCCTCTCTCTCCGCTGCTCCGGTTGGGAGAGTAGGTCACACGAGGGCTCAGGACAGCCCAGTCTTGCCAAGCCATCACTTTGCTGTGTGCGATGATGGCAATGCCACTGCTCTCACATGACAAACAGGAAACCACCCTGCAGGTGACAGGGGTCCTCAGGCCCAGGGCAGGTGCTACAGGGCAGGGACCACAGGGTGGCGCTGTTGCCTTTCCATCTGTGATGGGGTGAACCGCGAAAGGAACCGGTGAAGATGCGGCCAGAGCACACTTCTGGGGCTGCTCCTTGCATGTCCTATGTCCTGTCCCTGCACGGTCGCCCATGCCAGTCTGTCCTGAGCCACAGGCCGTGTCGGCCCTCCAGGATTGACAGAGACCAGAGGCTCTCGGGCCTTGTCCCAAGGGGGCCTTGCTGCCTCAGGAGGCTCAAGACTAGAGGCTGTCAGATGTCCATCCCAGGCCAGTGACAACGGTGACAGAGGCACTGGTGTTCCTCAGAGCCAGGAAGATCAGGCCCAGAGGGTCGGGAAAGGGCCCAAGGGGTGACACCAGAGCAGGGTCCCAGCAGGTGGACTTGGGCTGTGGAGCGGGGGTGGGGCGGCTCAGATGGTCACCTGAAGGCCAAGAACAGGGTGATTCTTGAGGGCATTTGGCTGGTGCTGGGCAGCTGAGCAGGGACACAGTGGAGTGGATGCTGGAACTGTGCGGCCCAGCATGCCAGGTGAAGGTGATGCAGGGCCAGATGTGTGTCTTAGCAAGAGCGAGGCCTTCTCCCCTGACAGGTGCAGAGGGTGAGGATGGCACGGCGGCTAATTATCCTTGGTCTCTTACAAATATCTGCATTCATGCTCATGCCCACGCCCGCATAGTCACACACATGCCCTTACACAGACATGTCCATCCCCCTCACATGGCAGCACCTCTCCTCCCCTCCCCTTCGCCCACCCACTGAAAGAAGGGCCTGTAGGGAGGGCTGGGCAGGGTGTGGGGCTGAGGGACCATCGGGCTCAGGTCTCACATCCACGAAAGTCCACAGATTAGACGTTTGACTTTATTTCCAAGTAAAACTTTGATGCAGGCGTGGAAACACGCCATCGGGACAGGAAGACACCCACCACCCACCTTTATGACTGAGCACATTGTCGTACCAGGAATCCGTGTTTTCTAAAACTCTAGTAATCAAACAATGATGTTTCATTGCGATTTTATGTTAAAGCTGTTCATTGGCTCCATGTAAACATTCAGCACAAACCTTTTTTTTTGTAACATACTGGGAGCTTCCACCAGTGGGCATGGCCCAGGTCTCTCTAGGCCTCCGCTGGGCTTGGCCCTGGCCAGTGGTCAGAAGGGCGATGGAGGGAATCCTCACCACTTCCAGACTCTTCCTCACCCCCTCCCATTCCATGTGTGTCTAGAGTCAGAGGAGGAGGAAATACAGAGGAAACAGAAACCATGTCCTCCTGGGTCAGTGAGGGCTGGCGCGGCCCACGCCCAGACCACGGCCTAGATCACTGCTCCGGAGGCCGGATGCAGCACAGCCTGTGTGGGGAGCTGGTTATGCTGAGCGAGGAGCTGAGATGCAGGCCATAGGCCCCGGCCATTAGGGCGACTGTGTCTGCCCCTCCCAAACCACCACACGGCCTGAATGCACGGACAGCAAGTGGCCCATGAGAACTGTTGGCCATACAAGCACTGTGCACACTGTGGCCGAGTGCCACTGCCCCGCTCTCTCCCCTGCAGTTGGTTTAGGGGCACCTTCCCAGTGACTCTGGGGTGATGTTAAAAAGCACTGGCCACTGTGTCAGCACTGGCACCGAGCAGCCAGAACATGCCCTGGATGTAACTGGCAAACCAGTCCCACTGGCGAATACTGGCCAGTCTCAGCCCAGTGCCCCGCGCTCCCCACCTCCCAGCATCTAACTGACCTGTAGCTACAAGGTGACCTGCCACACTGTGATGGGGCACCTGGGAGGGTCCTAGGCATGGGTGTTAGATCGCCCTATGGAAACCTATGAGGTGGAGTCAGATGACTGATGGGTGCCACTTGACCTGTCTGAGTTTGGGGTTCTGCATATATAAATTAGGGGTCACAACGCCTGTCTCACTGGGTTGTGGGGATGTGAAATGACTGGTGTAAGCACATGGTCCATTTCTTTCCCTCACACTCCCCGAGGTTATTGGAATAAGCCCCAGTCCCTTCCACGCCTCTAATTTCTCTAAATCTCTACACATCACCTACCTGTCTAGACCTTGTGGCTCACCTTGCTCAGTGTTCTGCTGACTCTGGATTATTTTTTTTTCTTGTTCCCCTTTTGTCATCTCCCTTTCCACCCCAACAATCCTTCCGGGTGGCCCTGTTCTCTCCAGGCCCTTACCTCCCTGCCATCGCCTCCCCTGCGTGAAACCCAGCGGTGTGCGTGGGGCGGCCCTGAGAGGGAGAGCAGGCTCTACCCGGAGGGTGTGACAGTTCCCTTTCCTTCTCCAGGCTGGCATGCAAATGGACCTCGTCCCTATCGCAGGACCGCTCCTTACGCCCCTCCAACCTGGCTCCCCGCCCGCAGGCGGCACTACCTGCACCCACACTCTGCCACACTCATCCCCTCATAGTGGTACTTGAGGGTGGGGACCCCCATGTCATCCTTGTAGAGGATGGAGATGGGGCTCAGTTTGGTGGGCACACAGCAGGCCTTGCCCACCTTCATGGGGAACTTGAGGTGAACCAGGGTCTGCACAATGGCGTGCTTGGTCGGGGTCACGTCATCGGCCAGCGGGAAGAAGCAGCCCCCCTTACACTCGTAGGCATCGTACTCCTTGGGCGCGATGATCCAGCTGTCCCAGCCGATGTCCTCGAAGTTCACTCGCAGGGAGGTCTTCTGACAGTGGTTGTTGGCCCCAGCGCTCCTCTTCCGTCTGGCTAAGGATGACCCCGTGGCCATGTGGCTTCCCACGTCCCCCTCGCCCTTGCTCCCCCCCGCCTCTGGGCCGTGGGTGGACAACTTCTTCAGCACACTCTCCTGCTCGTGGCCGATCATCTCCCTGAGCTCCAGCCGGGTCTCCTTGGTCCCATTGCTGCGGTCGTTGGAGAAGACGACGAAGAAGGGCAGGTTCCTGGAGCCGGGCGGGACACTGATATCCAGCTTGTGGCAGCCTTTCCTGCGGCTCCGCACGGCCACTTCCAGTTTGTTTTTGCTCTTGGTGGAGTCGGCCCTGACCCACCGCTTGACAGCCCTGGAGATCTCGAAGGTCGCCCAGCCCTCGTCCCGGATGTCCTGGGACAGCAGGAAGGCCTTGGCTCCCGCAGAAGCGTCCCCTGTGTCCGCTCCACCCAGAACATCATAAATGGCGATGTTTCCCTTCAGCTCGTGAGAGGGGGTCTCGTGGCTTTGGCAGGAGCTGTAGAGCCGGAGTTCTGCCCTGGTGATCTGCTCATGCCTGGGGATGGAGATGTTGAAAAGCAAGATGTGTTTCTGGAAGGGGAAGTCCTCTGTGGCAGCTACAGAGATGGCATCTGAAATGCAAATACACAGTGATGGGCACCTGCTGGGAGGGTCTGGCTCATGACACCAAGCTGAGCGCATGGCTCCCATGAAAGGGCACCTGGGATGACATTGTCAAATCTCTATTTGGTTTCACTTAAGCCCTTAATATAGAAGAGGTCTCTGAAAGGTGCACTTAGAATCGTGCAAAGAAAAGCAGATGCAGCAGATGCTGGCATGGGAGGGAACAGGCCCAGGTTCCACCAGGTGCCCCACAGTGCAGGAGGGACTTTGCACATACATTTCACATGACTCCTCACGAGGATCTAATTGTTATTTCACTTTTACAGAAGTGGGAGTGGGTTTCGGGTGTTTAACATCCAAAGTGCTCACATTCTGTAAAGATCCTCATTTTTTTAAAAAGAGCCAAATACAACAGCAATAAAACTGTCATCTTCTGAGAGCTGATCCTGAGTGTATGATTTTAAACGATGGTGCATGTACTTAGCCGACACTGTCCTGGCTCATACTAGATGCCCAGTCAATATTTCTGTGTCCTCGCCAGGCCCTCCGCCCCACTGGTGCATGCCCTGCCCCCCAAGCACTTGGCCTTTCACACAGTTCTCTGTGGTCTCCTCACAGCTGTTCGAGCCCCTGCAGACCCCACTGAGGTGCCTTGGCATATGGAGTAATGCGGGGTCTGTGAGCAGTGCGCTAGGGGCCTCGTGTGCTCCTGCCTTGATAGTGGCTGTGGGCTGCAGTCAGATGTCGCAAAGCAAATGCCCTCCTCCCTGTCTGTGAAGGCTGTGAAGGGCAGCATGCGTGGCCTCTACAGGAGTGCTGGCCACCGGCAGAGCTGGGGCCGTCAGAGCGCTTGTTTCCAGGGCACGGATATGCTGAGGGTGGGGTGAGGTGCCCCTAAAATGACTCTAAGCTCTGGACTCTCAGACTGTGGGATTCAATGGTTAGGTCCAGCCAAAGAAGCCCTAAAACAGAGGACACAGATGTACCCTGGGGCCTGGTGAGATGCTGGCCGATTGTAGTAACAAAATAAAGCCAGTGTTTTAAAAATCAAGCAAGTTCACATAAAATCTAGATTTTCCTTTTGGGCAGTCAGGAAATCGGACACTGCTGGGCATGCATTGTGAGCACAGCACCCTCCAGGGGGGCCTGGCAGCTGTGGCATGAGCAAGGCCTGCAGGAGCCTCCGGGGCTCCAGCCCAGGGCGGAGAAGAGAGGCCCGCGCCACACCACACCACGTGGGCTGTTCAGAGGGAGGATGCCGCAGCAGGAGACCCGCCGCCACGCAGGGGGCCTGAGGCGCAGGGCAGCTGCTGACCAGTGGGGTGTGGCAGTTCCCTCGGCATCTGCAAGCCTCGCCCTCCTGCTCAGTCATCTCACCTGCGTTGATTGTGTGAATTAGTGCACATAAGCCCTGAGTCGACGTTTGCCCTCTTCCAGTCCTCCCAAATCAGGGCCATTCTTATATACTTAGAAAATAATTGAGTAGTCCTCCAGTGTTAATCTCTCAGGGGCATTAATATGAATTTTTCATACCTTTTCATGAGAGAGATGTTCTCTCAAAGTTTAAAAATATACCAGGTTGGAGGCCCAATGTGCAGTCTGTTTCTTGGTGGGAAGGGGCCAGTGGGAAGCGGGGAAATGGAGGGAGGGAGGGGGCGAGGGCGCAGCCATGCCCGCAGCTCCCACTGAGCCCAGGAGCCCAGGCCCAGGGAGGCTCCCCCAGGGCAGAGCTGCCCGGGGCAGGCCCTGCGGCTCAGCTGCCGGGTCCTGCAGGGAATCCATTAGCCACACTCCGCTGCCCGGCACTTGAATGGAAGCTGGTGAAACTAAACAACTAAGTTACCCATTTCATTTCATTTTAATGAATTTAATGGAAACTTAAAGAGCCTCCTGTGGCCAGTGGCCACCATAGCGGGCAGTGCAGCTGTGGGTACTATGTCCCCCGACCCCTGACCCCCGACCCTCAGGGCCCTGGGGGAGCAGACCCTACCTTCCACGCTGAAGCTGCGCACGATGTTGGACGCAGGGGTGGACGACTTGTCGGTGGTGTATCTGTTGTACAGGTCTATCATGTACTGCGGTGGCTCTGCTTGGGTTTTGTCCTGGGCCGGGACCCCGCTCAGGTTGAGGCTGCGTAGGAAGTCCACCTTCATGTTCTCCAGGAACATCCTCAGGTCGAAGGTGCCTCCCTCCTGCTCACTGCCCGCTGCCGCTGGCAGCCGGGCATCTCCCCTGGCCAACGCCCGGGCCCGGGTCTCCAGAGGCTTCCCCTGCCCAGAGCAGGCCAGCAGGGAGAGCACCGACAGGGCCACCCACAGCGCCCCGAGGCACATCTTGGGACAGCACGGGGGTCCCCTGGACGGGAGACGGCCGCTGGCCACCTGTGTTAGCGGGTGTGGGCAGGAGCCCGGGAAGAGCAGGCCCGCATCGTCCTGCCGACCACTCTGCACACAGCGCCCGGCCAGTTCCCAGGCTCCCTGCCGCCCGAGAGTCCTCCGCTCTTCTTATCGGCCCTCGCTGCCTGCTCCCACCTCTTATCTGAGGCAGCGCTAAGCTAATGAAGGCTCTGTAAACATCTGACAACACACAGGCTGTGGGAAGAGCACGGTCAGCTGCAAAGAACCCGGATTTCTCCGGGGTTATCGCCCCCTAATTAGGATCGTTCTCATTTCCTTGCCAGTTCTGTTCAAAAGAATCTCAAGACAGGGTGACGTGTGCTCTATCTCCTGGGCCACAGGAGCAAGGGACCCAGGACACAAACATGACAAGAAGGCCTCCAAATATAGAAGCAACACAAACCCCCCAGAGCCCCTGCAGACTCCGGCTGAGCGGGTGCTGGGTGCGGCCCTGGCAGGGTGAGTGGGGGGCCTGCTCCCTGTGGAGGCAGGACCGGCAGGTGTGGCTCAGCACTTCCCGCCTCGGGGCTTGTCTGTCACGCTGGTTCCCGGGCATTGGAGACCACGAGAGCTGGTGGCACGTGGTTCGGTGAGGCGAGGAGACGTCAGGCGAGACGAGGATTCCGACCCAGCTCCTGCCTCATTCCCACAGCAGGCCCCGGAGCGAGGTGCTCCGTGTTCTCAGCGTCCAGTTAAGAGGAGAGTCGCCGGAGGTGGATGCGCACGTGCTGGAGCCCACGCAGTCCCTGCACACCCTGGTCCATGGCAGGGCTGCTTTCTGCCTGTCGCCTCGTCCAGGTCTGACTTTGCTGGGAGCTGAGGAGGAAGCCCTGTGCCTCCCAGCCTGCTCCCCAAGGCTGGCCACCAGGGACCCCCAAAAGCTCTGTCATTGGCCTTGTGTGTGGGTCTTTGCACATGTCAGAGGGTGGCGCCTGGACCACATTCCTCATCCAGGGGAACCGAACCCTGCGGCCTGGGAGACACGCGGGAGAGTGGAGCTCTGAGCTGGTGCATGGCAGGGAGGGCCCTGCCTGAGGAAGCTCGGCAGCCACAGCCCACAGCCTCCTGCCAGGCCCCAGGGCCTGTGCTATTTTAAGAGCATCATGCCCACACTTAAACTCTCCATTTCCATCAGGTGTGGGTTTGAGCAACACAAAGAATGAGCCTCATTAAAAACCCTCAGGGATCTACCCTGAGGAGCACTGGTGCGGTGTTTGCACAGCAGCAGGGTGCTCCTGGGAGGGTGGTGGGCGCTGAGCAGCCTCCGGAGGTGGAGGAGGGGCTGTGGCAGGTTGAGGTCAGAGGTCCAGTACAGGGTAACACCAGGAGCCTGCTAGCCAGGCCTGGGCAGGACTGCTGTCCCTATCCCTTGGGGCCCTGCCAGGGGAGGGTGGAGGGAAAGGGTGTCACTCAGGATGGCTGCTTGGAAAAGGGGCAGGAAGCCTCCTGGGCCTGGGCTAGCTCAAGGCAAGAGCTAACTCCTGCACTGAGGGAGGGGCAGGAGGCCGGGGAGTGCGGTGGGCCGGAGGAGCCGGCAGGACCCCCCCCCCAGAACCCTCCCCTCACCCCACCCCACCCCACAGTGCTTCTGTCCCTGCAGCAGCCCAGAAATCTCTCGCGCTGCAGGAGGAGCGCAGGGCTGCGTGGGGTGGTCCGAATGCACCCAGGGAAGCTCAAGGGGCCTGATGCTTTTGAAATACCTACAGGTTTTCTTTCCTGATTGTAACAGCAGTACACAGTGCAGATAAGGTGGGAAATGCAACACACTATGAAGAAGGAAGTAAACTACAACCTCATCGTGCAGTCATGCCCACTGCTAACGTTTCGAGAAACATACAGCTCCAGTCTCCTGTCTGAAACCCTTGGGCCAGGAGTGTTCTCCCATGCAGAGCTCCGGTTGGGGATGTGGTAGGGCATGCATACTGTGACATCTCCAATGGGGTTGGGGCACAACCTGCAGTCAAGTGCATTGATATTCCTGCAGTGAAGCGAATAAAAACACGTACCCATTCAGGCCGAGGTTTCCATGAAAGGAGTTAATAGAAACTGCAGGTTTGCTGATAGTGTGAGGAGTGGGGGCCTCAGGCAGAGGATGGGGGACTTGCTTGCACGTGGAGTCACCACACCCACCGGTGGAGGCTCCAGGAGCAGGGCTCAGAGTCTCTGGTCCCGTGAACTGTGGTGTGCCGGTGCCCAGCACTGTGCGGGGCAGCGTGCCTGCGAATTTCTGGGATTATCTGCCCCCAAACCCAGAGTATCCATATGTCCATGAGAGTGTGCAGCGTTCTGGTCCCTGCTACCCGGAAGTCTAGTTTGTTCCCTCAGGGCATCTCCTTCCTAAATTGTCCAAGTGCATGTAGGTTCACTTAGTCCAAAGGGGCGGAGGTGAGTGGTGTTAGCCCAGCTTCTTAAAGCTGGAAGGCGGGGTGGGGGCGGGGAAGGGCTTCCAGCAGTGCCGCCTGCTGTTGCTTCTCCGTGACACCTGGCTTTGCTGTTGGCGATAGGCCACATCGCACAGCTGCTGGGATGCCTGACTGGCCCAGGCGCCTGCCCAGGTCTCTGTGATGTCCTCCTCTGTGCACTATGCACACACATGAAATGGAACATAATTCAGCATAACAAAGGGATTCTGACACATGCCACAGCATGATGGACCTTCAAGACATGCCGAATGAAGTAAGCCAGTCACAAAAGGACAAATAGTGAGCTTATGTGAGGTTCTAGAATAGTCCAATGCATATAATCGTGGTTGCCAGGGGCTTAGGGGAAGGAGGAATGGGACGTTATTGATTAACGGGTACAGAATTCTAGTTCTAGAGACGAATGGTGGTGATGGTTACATAGCAACGAGCATGTACTAAATGCTACTGAACTGCACACTTAAATGGTGAGTTTTGTGTTGTGTGTACTTGGACACAATTTAAAATTTGAGGTGTGCCATATAGTTCCTTTTGTTGCAGGTTGCAGAAAAGGAGAGTGCTAACAGGCTTAAGAAAACAGTGGGGCTAAGTAATGACAGCTGACAAGTCCAGCGAAGGCGTGGCTTTAGCAGAGCCTGGCCCGCACAGGCGGAGCTCCAGGGGTGTTCTCTCCACTCGCGGGACTTTCACTGTGTGGTCTTTGTGCTCCTGGGTGCCTTGGAAAGAAGGCTCAGCAGGTCTACCCAGTGGGGGAGGAGCAAAAGCCTCTTTTCCAGGAAGTCTCAGTTAGTCTCAGGTGTCTCCTTGTTCCTCATTGGGTCATCGGCCCACACCCAGCCAATGCCTGTGGCCGGGCAAGGCAATGCCTTGACTGGCTTAGGCACGGGTGACGTCGCTGGCAGCAAGGAATGAGAGTCACGTTGGGATGACTCCTCAGAGGGGCCTAGATCCGGTCACCAGAAGGAGCTAACACTAAAGCAGTGGTTCTCAACCTTCCTAATGCCGCGACCCTTTAACACAGTTCCTCATGTTGTGGTGACCCCCAATTTCATTGTTACAAATTGAACATAATTAAAGCATAGTGATTAATCACAAAAACAATATGTAATTATATATGTGTTTTCCGATGGTCTTAGGTAACCCCTGTGAAAGGATCATTCGACCCCCAAAGGGGTCGTGACTCACAGGTTGAGAACCGCTGCACTAAAGGATTGTATAAGCATCTTCCCTTGCCATGAAACATTTTTCATATATATACTACATTTTTAATGACTTAACAATATCCAACCGTTTGGTTATATCCTAATGTATTTAACATCACCAACTATAGGGCAATTAGATTATCTATTAAGATAATGTTGTGCAGCACATGGTTATAGTCTATATTTTATATTATTTTCTTGAAAGTTCATCAGAGGTGGAATATGTGCATGAAAGTTTACTGGTAAACATTGCAGTTACTGCCCAGAAACGCTCTTTTAATAATAGACTCCTTTGCATAGCCCGAGAGCACCTGTCTCACCACCCCACCAGGAGTACTTCCTCGTCTTTAGTAACTTGATAAACAAACTTATGTTAATGTGCGTGGCCAGCTGAGCTAGACTGATTTTCCCATTTGATGAGCTACATCAGTGCCTGGACATCAGCCTTCCAGACGGTGCAGCAGCAGCACCTCTCACCGCGGTGGGCCAGGGCTGTGCTCGGGAGTTGTTTTGGTGGCACACTGTGTCCAGGGGGGCACAGAGGTCCCCAGAGGCCCGGCCTCCCTCAGGGGCACAGAGCCGGGTGCAGGGAAGCGCTCCTTACTGCTGTGGTCAGCGCAGTCGGATGTTTCCGTCACTTCTCCTATTGCCCTGGGGCGGCTCTGTCCTCCCCCCTGCAGAGCCCCTGCTTGGCTGTGCCCTCAGGTAGGGACGCCTCGTGCTCTCCTCCCCACCGTCCTGCGCCAGGGCCAGTCCCACCTGGCCTTCGGTTTCTGCTCAGCACTGCCCTTTGCCAAGCAGCCTGTGTATTCTGAGCAACGGACTTATTAGGTTTGTCTGACAACCACTACGAAGGGCCGAGGACTGCTGCCTGCTGGTGGCTTGAGTTGGCACATCCTTCTTGCAGTTTGGTTTGCCCTTGAGGCCCTGCACTCACAGTGGCCGAGGCCCCTCGGGCAGGCCTCTGTGATCATCGCTGTGTATGTCCTTGAACACTCAGGGTGCTCCAGGGGGTGTTGGCCGGGCTGAGGATGGGGCTGCCAGCTCAGCCTTGTCCCAGCTACACTCGATGCCCAGATGACATGCATGCCTGTGCTGTGGTGACTTTAACCAGAGCCTCCGTAACCTCATTTCTCCCAGGACTTGTAAACTGCAGAACTAGGGTCATCAAGTGCAATTGCTATGGGAGATGTAAATTTAATGAGTAAGAGGGCAGATGGACTCATCCATGTATTTCAAGGATTGCTGAGGCCCATCCCTTCAGCAGACACGGAGCGCAACCTTCATTCATGGAGGCGGGGCCATCTGCTGGTTT